GAATTGATAACAGTACAACAATTTACGTTGCAACGTTCTACTTTTACATATAACAGAATAACAATTAATGTTTTACTGTTCTACGGAGCGTATAACAGTATAAAAATTAACGTTGCACTGTTTATTGTTACATATAACAGTATAATAATTTAAGTTGCAACGTTCTACTTTTACATATAACAGAATAACAATTAATGTTTTACTGTTCTACGGAGCTTATAACAGTATAACAATTCACGTTATAATGAATTGATGTCACAGTTCGCTCCTATATTTTATGTTTTTGCCCAAGTGGACCATCAGAAGGTTCGCAACAACAATTTGCTTTAATCAATCACCACAATCCATATTTTCTTGATGCCATATATTTTGTTAAAGGCAAATCAACACATACTTTATATTATAAAATATAATAAATTATATAACTTTGTAAGGTGTTCGGAGAAAGGATTTATTTTGGTTAATTTCTAGAAAATAAGACAAGCTTTTCATCGCTTCTAAACAATTAATAAAACAAAATACTTTGTAAGTACAATTAGATAGTATTTTGAGCAGTATTTTTATATAACCTATTTATACAATAATTAAGTGTTTACACTACTTACTTACAATTGTTAAATGGAAAAATCATTGCAATATAATGTTAGAGGCATGTACTTAGTATGAGATGAAGATGAATATAAAGATGTAGATATCATATTGGGAAGTTAAAATAAATGCAAAATGTTTAATTAAACAGAAATGATTCTAATTACATTAAATTGCAGGATTTGGAGAAAATCATAAGGTTTGGTTTATATATAAAAAACAAAAATTCTACTCTATTACTCTACTAAGAAAATTTTCTTAATTAGTTATTTTCAATAAAAATTTTAATACTTTAAACTTATTAATTACATACATATATTTAACATTTATTAAAATTTTATATACAAATTGTTATAATTTTCAAAAAGACATGTTTCACTTTTATTTTCTCTCTTTGCTTGCTTAATTAAAATTTACTATTAATTAATATCACTTAATTGACGAGTGTATGGTTTGTTACTTAATTATTTATATACTATTATTTTTTCCAAGAGTGTTTACTTAACTTGAATTGAATTTATTAAAAAGTTATGGTTTCTTATTTCACAATAGAAAATGGGCCAATTTATTTCGTTTGGTTGTTAGTTTTATTTTGTTTATTTTTTTTATTTCGTTATGCGTTGTTGATTGTCATTGGATTGAACCTAATAGAGAGATTAACACACTTTTCTATATTTTTAGCTTATTTTTAGAGAAAAGATACAATTATGTACATTTGTATATAATTCTTAACCTTATACATATACGAAAATTAACCTTCATTGCTTAATGCAAAATCAGATGAAGAAAGCAGACGATGTTAAGAGAAATGAGATTTACTAGTCATTCATCTTGTTGGGTGAGATAGTACGCTTAAGGCTATTGGCATTCACTTTAAATAAATTTAAACTTTCTTTTTAACCTCAATTTAATGTTATTAGTTAAAAAGTAAAAAATAAAATGTAAAAATTAATTCAAATAAAAAAGAAAAGAAATAAAAATTCGTACACATTACTTAATCCTAACAATAAATTTATAGTTTGATATAATGTTTAATTATCTACTCTGGAAAAGGCATTAAACAAGTTATCATTTCACCTAACTAAATAATAAATTTTAACTTTTGAGTATTTACTTGTACAAACAATAAACGATTAATTTAAATGTAGGTAACTCTCTTCAACATATTCGAATCTTGAAAAAATGTAGTGTAAAATTGAACTTCAGATTATTATCTCATAATAAATATTTAACAATAAAAAATAAGGTATACTTCTTGATATAATAATGTGAATATAATAGTCATTAAGACTGACTCACTTCTGGGAATACGGTTAAGCGATATAATGCTAACCACAACACAAAAATGTAGAGCGCTATACAATAAGAACGTCAGTGAAGATTAGATTTTAGATAATAACAGATATCAGTGCAAGCCCGAAAAACGTCACTTAAACCCTGAAAGTGAGCCAATTGTGATAACAGTTTTGGGATACGCTAGCTGTTATAAATAACGTAAAGAACGTGGGTTAAGATGGCTTTATATAGGACCATGAAACCACTTTATCATTTCATGTAGTTGTATCGGATAGACACTTAAGAAAGGGACTTAGTAAATTGGATATATTTATTTTGGTAGGTGCCATACTAATTCACAGATACGATAATCAGAATTGATGGAGATTTTTAATGATCAGCAACTTTGCCCATAAGAAAGTGTGACATCAGCGTGCCGATTGCAGATTGCATTGGATAGAGAGAGACATGCAAAAAATCAGTTCATGCTTCTTTCTTCGATCATAGCCGGACCATGTGTTACGTGAAGTGCTAATTTTGACCTACCATTGCAAAGTATTTTGAGTTTTCTGTTAATTCTAGTCAGCGTGTCGGTACTTAAGCTGCCAGAAATGGTGGAAAGTAGCTATATATAGAAATGATACAAATACTCTATTTGGATTTCTTACACACAGATAATGTGAAAAGAGAATGTATTGAATATGAGAATAATATGTATTATATATTGTTTTCTAATTGTTCATTCATTAAGTAATGGAAAGAATTATTCCAATACTATTTGTGTGTCATTTAGATGAAAATTAGTCGATCATTTCTAAAACCAACTCAATTAAGTTGTGCAGATAATTTTTGTGAATGAAAATATTTTAAAAGATTGTGATCGAATCGATTGACAAACTCATATGGCACTTATATTTACTGAACAATTCAACATAAGCTTCATCACTGTTGGTTATAACTTTTTATGTCCACTAAAAACGATTAAACCACGAAAAAAATAAATTTAATAGTTATATTTATGATTACTTCATAAGATATACATTTTTTTTTAAATTTCTGTATATGGGTATAGGGGTCTGTATATGGATTATTTATTATTATTTTAAACGAATATTATAGAAGAATTATTATAGGAGAATTGAGTTTTTATTTATTTGTACGTACCGTCATTTGTTTATAACAATTAAAATTAAAAATTAGAATTAATAGGCTTATTTGAATCTAAAAAATCTACCATGCCACAACTCAAATACATGTACTTGATTCAATATTAGGTTAGGTTAAACCGGCGATTTTTAGTGGATACACTTAGGCCTATTGGCCTACTGTGTTACCGTATATGTAGGAAAACTCAGGGTTTAAAACCACCTAGAACCTTTGGCGTGAATCAACTTTAAGGACAAGACAAGATGTTTCTGGTTATATCGTTTATGTTAGTTACCTTTTGATTCCTGTTTAATGCTGTCAATAATTTTAAGATTAAAAAAAAATTATTAAAGTTCAAACATATTAAAAACAATTATAAATATAAATATAAAAATTTATAATTTCCGTTATTGTTAGAATAAAATTAACTTATATTAACTTATAATATTTAACAAATAAATAAATGAAAAAATAACGATTATATATTAACAGTTTTAATTCTTCAGAATTGATAAAAGTTGCGATACGGTAAAATGATTATAATTACATATTATTAGTTTAATTATTTTTTATATAAGACTCACTAACATTTTGGCGTTTTCTTTACAGTTTTCAGATTTGAGTATACATATAATCCTAAATATTATTATAATAATGGAATTTTTTAATCCTACAACACTTAAAGAAATAGGAGTAGTTTTATACATGAGATTCTCAAAATTTAACTAGTTTATATACAAATAAAGATAAGGTATAAATATTAAATTTAAATATAGGTATTTTTTATATATGAATTTTAATTAGTGTTTTAAAAATTCGGTATTAATTCTATAATGAAAATACATTTAATTAAAAATATTATCTATTTTGGCATTAACTTACAGTTTCTCCAAATGTTTAATTAGTTAATTATAAAACTCTAAAAAATTTTAACAAAATATTAATTATAAAAAAAGAATCAATCCAGTAATAATTTCACAACTTTCTCGAGATTTTAATTTAATATTTAAAGAAGTAATAAATAAAAAATAAATAGATAAAAAAAATTATTATTTACAATAAACAAAGCTAATCGATATAATCAACAATTTTTGTGTGTATTAGGATGGATAAAAAATTTTCATTTATATATTATATATCTCTATACAAAATTATATATATCATAAAAAAGTTTTTGTATATGTATAATGGAGTAAAATAAATAAATTAAATAAAATTGTTTTATTTGAATACATAATTCCTTTAGAAAATAAAAGGACTTAATATGGTATTTTATAATTAGAATTGTTTTGATTATTGAATAGGCTATTATTATTAATATAATAATATATAAATTATATATGTATGATATACATATACTGTTATATTATAATAACATTAAAAATAATGTAAATATTTTATTTTCAATATATGATCTCGTTGTCTGATTATAATTTTTAACAATATTTTGCTGTCAATTTTTAGAAAAAAAATAATCGACTTAAAAAAAATATTACAAAATTATAAGTTAAACTACCTTTGAGTAAAATGTTTATAAGAAAAACAATATAATAAAATCACTACTTTATGACTTTTTTAAATATATTAATTTGATTTAGTAAGTCTGTTTTACAATATGATTTAATATTACTAAATAAATTTTTTTACTTATGCACTAAATAATCATTCTTATGTTAATATTGTTTTAATTTCTTTTTATATATTTAGTTTATTATCTACAGTTAACTATCATTAGAATTTTAATATATGGAAATTTGTTTATAATTATTCACTTCATAATTATAATTATTTACTTCAAGAAAAAAGAATATAAAATATTTTGTGGCTTTTGGTATTAGATAGCTTAAGGATTAATGCCATCGATTTGTTTATGTTGGCAGAGAGAACAACCAATACTCATATTGATGAAAATTGTCAACTAGCTTCTTCATTTTTAGTTTCGTCATTTCCAGCTGGCTCTGTTGAAGCAGCAGCTGTCTCTGAACCAGATCCAGAACTATATGTCGATACTGGGCGCGAACTGCAGCAACTGGTGCTGGAGCTTGAGTTTTCAGACACCGGTGCTGTTTGCAATGATGGTCATCTAACCTTTTCGCTATCATCTGATGTAGAATGTTCAGGCGATTTATTTGCGGTATTAGAGGTTGTCAACGGTCGTGGTATATCAGGCAGTGCTGTTGTTGGTTGATCGTCCGATTTTGGTGATTCTTCTGTTAATGTTTCTAATACAATAATCTCGTTGGCATGTTCCGGATCGTAATCGTAAAACACCTGAGATGTGTCACCTTGAATGTTGACATCAATTGGCGTATCTACACCAACAATGATATCTTTTCTTTCTGCTGCAGTTTCACCTTCTGCTGAATGGTGTTTAGCACCATTACTATATGTAACTATAGGAATTTCAAAATCTTGTACAAAGTCACCACGAGGTGGTTCTTTTGGACTGTCAACCATTATTTGCACAACAGATGTACCGCTAACACAAATATCATCGGACCCGGTACTTATACGTATTTGCGGAGGCGGTTTTTGTTTTTCTAAATATACATTATAATTTGATATGTAATATAATAAAGTGGCATACTTTACTTACCCGTTGTTTGGGAAATATGTTCATTTTCTTCATCATCCTTGTACTCTTCACTTTCTCTATGCACCAACACATGCACCAAAGTTGAGTTGTCGGGCCTTAAGCCCATCGGTAAGGATTGTTGTTCGGGAGATGGTTTCGTCACAATTACTTCTGGCGCTGGACCATCAGCTGTAATAATTGAAACAAAAGATTTTTATTTAATTTACACTGGACAGACTTGGGGTAACACCATCGACACACATACAGACAAAAGCATTTTTGTTAACTCTTAAAGCGCTTTGTGCTGACAAACCTCTTTCTAGTGGTGGCTTTTTGCGTATGAAACTCGTAGCACGTTTCCGTGTGGGTGTGGGCGCTATTTGCTGGCTATGAGTATCGGAATCGGCGGTTATGGTTGCAGTGGAAATAGCTGTTGTTAGGGGTGATATGCCTGCATCAGCGTTTAGGAATTGTGAACAGATATAAATAATTTAATACGACATAAATGGTTAGGAGTTAAATACATAAAACGCTAATAATTATTGTAAAAAACTTAATAATTTAGTCAAGGGCGCATACAGTTCACTTGACGCCATTAACGCCTTTAGGATTAGTAATTATTTAATATATTTAATAAAACATATGCTAATAAGTGCATAAGTATTAATATGTGTTTAAAATGCATTCTAGGGATGATTTGTTTAGTATTAGTATTAGTATTAGTATTGATAGTGTAGGTAATTATTAGTAATATTAATTTAATTTTACAAAAAATACAAATATTAAAAAACAAATGAAATACATTAATATTGTAGTTATTATAAAAAAGTTTATGAAATTAAAACAAAACTGATATTTTAATAATTACTTTTTCTATGTACTGATGGTGATGTTAAACTATCATCGACTGCATCCTGATGACGTAAAAAGAAATTATAAAAACTTCGGCGACGACTAGCTCTAGGTGCTTCCACAAATATGCTACCGCTTTTTTATTTGTTGTTGTTTATTGTTGATATTTATAAATTTTATTTTTTAAAAAAATTTTTAAAATACAATAAGGAGATTTTCAACAAATTCAAAATTTAATGTTAAAAAAATATTCATATAAAATATTCATATTTGCAATTTTTTGACGAATTTTTGTTGACTAGTAAGTGCTCTTCCGAAAATCTGCACTCATTTCCATATATCATTTTAGATTCTAGTACATGCGACATTAAAGTGCAGAAAACTACATATTCCGTAGATTATAAAAATCAGAAAACAAATTATTCGTTATATACCACACCGGAAAGATAGTATATATATTTGGAATTATTTCTCCCATTTCGTAACCGAACAACCAACATTTAAAGAAAACTTCCTTTTAAGTTGGACCATGGTACTTATATTCCATTTTTGCTATTATGTTCAATCAGATGATATGTTTTAATATATGTTGTTATGTTCTTAAATTTTTATTTGAAAAATATTGTATATCTAACTTTAGACTCAATTATTAATTTTATTAAAACATAAGTAATTTTTTAAAAATAGTTTACGTTTTACATTAACATTTTAAAGGCCTTGGTTTATATATATTCTGGATTCAATTGATTCAACGATGACTGACACAACTACTTATGTTTACTGTGGACAATAAATTTTTGGCTTGAATTAAAGTTAAAGTTAAGAGTGTCTTAAAATGATTTGATGAAGTGAATAGAAGATGAAGAATACTGTTTAGTGCTACAAGCAGTTCTAGAACATGAAAGATACTATACTATACATAATATAATGCGAAATATGAAGTTTATTGATCAAAACAATCGTTTGCAAATCAAATCAGAAATTTAACTTTTTTTAATTTACATAAATTATTTACTAAGCACTAAAAGATATTATTTGCAATTAATTTCATAGTTTTAGTTAACTCGATAGTATGCACAAAACCGTACAATAATGCTAGTATATAAAATACTATATAGGTATATATGGTATATATATTGTGTATTCTAAGTACGAGTAACAACCAATTACTATAGAATGAATGAATAGAGTTTCTTACAGAAGAGTATAGAGTAAAATATTTGCTTAATATATGAACTAATTTGTATGTAACCTTGTAATAGAACCTACTTCAATTAAATATTATATTTAAAATATTACAAATTTATTAACATTGACCGCCCACTGCCCGCAATTACCTCTTGTGTATTCTTTAAAATTGTTCATTATATTTAAATCGCTTGTTTGTGAACCACTTCGTAAAACCGATGATACCATATCTGCGAGCAATGACTCGTAGGTAAGAGATAGACAAGAGGATATTCTAAAAATAGGACTAATGGAAAAGAATCTTCGTCAAAACAAAAGATTATAATTGAAATCGATTCGCCAAAAATTGCAATATATCGGATTTCAAAAAAAATCAAAAAAAATAAATTTAGGATTTTTAAAAAATGTATACCGCTTGCCAAGCTCTTCACTCTGTTGCTTGATATCTTTGACAACGTCATCAGCACCAGATACAAGCATTAAGGGTAGATTTAACCATGGACCAGCAAGTTCACTTATGTCAGAGGCATCAGATGCTCGAGACGATTTACGTGAGGAAGCCCGACTAGAACACTGAGTACCGCGACGACTGACCTGTAAAGATAATTAATTAATATCTTACATATAAAATACTCTTTTAGCCATAATAAACATTTCTAAACCGAATAAATAGAATGAAATAATATAATTTTACATAACGGAGCATGTTGACATGAACATTTTTTTCTTTGCAACTTAACACTATTTTGGAGGCTTTGAACAATCTTATCGATAATGATGTATGTAGCACTTAAAGTAGACTATATCGAAAAATAAATTTAAAAGGAACTAAAATTCAACTAGTTCCTTATTTTATCATTGACTAAGCCAACACCCTCGTGTTATTATTATTATTAATTCTTACCTGTAGATGAAAAAAGTTAAGTGCTGACAGTTTCGCTTGCCATCCACCCGGACTAGAAGTCTGTGTAACACTATCTCCAGAATTAGAACGCTCTTTCTCCTTTTTCCTTCTGAAGTATAGATAATTATTTTTATATTATTTTTTTAGAAATAAAATATTGAAATATTAAAACCTATATACCTTAAGTAATCTTTCCATGCGGTTTGTATAGTTTTGGCCGCTTTTTCTTGACGCTTCCAAATGCGTGTAGAAGACACTATCTCGAGTTCTTTACGTGTAGGAAATTGTTTCTTAAATTTAACATCCATTTGTTCCTGTAGTTGCTTGAAATTGTCAGTTTCTTCTACATGTCCTAACACATGCTTGACTAAGGCGTGTAATATATCAAGGCAGTGAATTCTATTACCCTTTGAAATGGCTAAATTGAATGATACCAATGCAACTGAGTTTGGTTTTGGTATACCAAGCGGTGGATCTAAAGATGCAATAAAATCAGAGAGCTGTCCAAAGTGTATAAATTGCGAAGCATGTGGATCATATCTGCAGTTAAAAATTATTTTTAATTTCTGACAATAAACCGAAATGTGGTTTAACATACTTAGACCATCTTATATAGAACATTTCTAAATCATCCTCAACTATTCCGATTTCTTCTTCTTGATGTGCCTGATTAAAGTTCTCCAAAATAATTGCGATGTACATATTAATAACAATCATATAACTAATTATGATGAAGCTGGTAAAATAAGTAATTGCCAGCAGTGGATGGCCGCAATCGCCATTAATCTGTCTATTGTAGAGAGGGTCGCAGTCTGGTGGTTGTATCATCAGGGATTCTAATACATCATTCCAACCAGCCGATGTCATTAGACGAAATAACAGTTGCATACTTCGCCCAAACGTTTGAAAATTAACCATATCATCAAGCGCGCCTTGGAGTTTAACATGCCCAAAGAGTGACATGCCCAGAATTGCATATATGAATGTAATAAGCCCCAATAGCGCACCGATGTTAAATAATGCTGGCAGTGATACTACTAACGCAAAGAGCAGTTTTCGAATACCCTTGGCTGCTTTTATCAACCGCAGTATTCGACCGATGCGAAACACACGGACTACGCGTAGCAAAGTGGGACTTATGGGTAAATCGATCATTATGTCTTCCATTAGTATGCCAAAGATTGAGGCCAAAACAAGCAAAAAGTCAAACACATTCCATGGCACAGTGAAATAATGATAACGTAGTCCAATTATTTTCACAATTGCCTCTGTTTAGATGCACATAAATTTTTTTTATTAATTATAAAGTCCCGAAACAATAATATTAGGTGGAGTGTAATGGACTTACCCAAACCAAAGACGGTGGTAAAAAATGCATTGCTTACTTCGAGTATAAAAAAAACCGCATGCGGCTGATTGTAGTGCTCGATACCCATGGTTAACATATTTAAAAAAATCAGTACAAATATAGCTATTTCGAATCTATATTTGTTTGAGTGGTGGTGGTTGTTGTTGTTGTAGTTGTAGATAGTATATTTGTTCATAAAATGTGTAGATATTTTGTTGTTGGATGGGGAATTACAAGTAAGAAATTCAAGAGATTACAACATTTGTAAAGACAAATATATTCAATTTAAATGGCATTAGCAAATACTTAACAGAAAATTTATTAAAGCTATAATTTAATTCTCGGCATTAAAATATAATTGAATAAATATAATACAATAACGAGAGCAGAAATAAAAAACTTTTAGTAATAAAAAAAAATTTGCAACATCAAACAGAACTCAGGTGTTTAAGTAATATCTATTACATCTCAGTAACGTATTTACAATATTTATTCAGTGATTTATATTTTTAAGATGTATTATCAAATGTTGAAGTTTACAAAAGAAGCCAAAAATACTTTAGGAAACCATATATATGATAACTTTCTTTTAGAGATTGTTCTTTTATAGCACTATATTACTGATATAAAACTGGATCTGTGGATAAATTCTTTATATTCTCGAAAATAACGATATCAGTATGATTAAATCGATAGAATATCCTTTATTCGGACTTTTTCAAAAATTAATTTGAGGAATTTTTTGTAAAACAATAAAACTCAATCATATTTCTAACATTAGTTCTGCAAAACGAAATTCCGAGAGAGATCTGTATAATGCTACTTTTTTCATGATTTATACCTAAACTATACATTAAATATCGTAGTCTACTTGCTCCATTTTCTTAATGCACTGGTTTGGTCGTATTAATATAGCAAGGTTTATATAAATATGTTAGGATCAATATCTCTATTTATTTGTTTCTACATCCTTCTTATCTTGTATTTTATTTATTTAACTCTATCTCAAACCCTACCAATATTATTCCAATTCCACATTAACTTTTTAGTTTTTTATATAATTTTTGCTTGCAGAATTCTTCTCTCCTTCGCAGAGTACTATAACCCAAGTCTCTGAACAATGAATAACTAATTAAGCATTTTAAGCGATCGCGTACCCGTACTGCTTAAACTTTTATCTTTCAAATGGACTTCATCTTAAAACGACAAAAAAAAAAGTTTAATCTTTGCGTCTATAGGGTCTAGAAATTACTTAAATTACACATAAACTGTAAACTTTTATCAATAGATGTAAAAGAATATCTGACATTGTAAGAATAAGACAAGATAATGACGGCCTAGTGGTACCACTAATGAGCACTAATGGCTTCATTGGCGGAAAATACTGTCAACGATATTTTATTAACGAAATCGTTGCCACTAGTAACACGAAAAAGATATCGAATGTAAATTACATGAGAAACTACAATTAGGAGAGAATGATAAAATCTTCTCGTTATTTTAAAGGTTTTGGGCGTAATAGAAGCATAATTGATCTTAAGTTGTAAATGTTTAAGAAGTCACTAATAATAATAATGATAACACAATACTACAATAGCATAATTAATTTCCAGTAGAACATTCTCTGGTAATTCGGAAATGCATATTATGCATTTACTGCTTTGTAGTTCTGATTGATCATTAATTCGCTAGTCCGGTCCACATGTTATGAACATGTTTCCTCCTATAGTATAGGAAACAAATCACATTTATTGGCTGTGTGCATACATGCGTCTATGTATTATTCGCCTATATGTTTTGCTTGCTATTTGTTTATATACTCTATAATATATATAATCTAATAATAAATTAATTAGCAGTGGATTTTTGTTCACTTTTTCCAATTCCCAAATATTTTTAATATGATTCCAACAATTTGAATGTCTCAGTAATTCGGATTGAACGCAATTTTTATGAATCGAGATTGGCGCAGTTCTATTGAATATGTATTATATTTGAATCATTGGTCATTGGTTGAATCATTTGAATCATTTGAGTAAACTACTGATATAGTCGCTATCATAAGTATTTGAAAATAAAATGATTTTATCGGACAATATTCTCATTGCTTTCTTTGGTTTTAATATACTCGGATTAACAGATCTGTATATATTAAAATATTGTTAGCTTCTTTTAATGAAAGTTATAGAGAGTAGAAGAGTTAGATTTGCTCCATGCATAGCAAAGAAGATATTTTTCTTAATGACTTGTACGAATATATAAAGAAATAGTTTTGAAAGATTATAGAATAGTGTAATCTGTTCTGGAATACCTATGTGAGTTTTAGTGATCGTTTCAAGTTTGTATTTATTGTTGGTGATAAAAACATCTATTTCAATTCTACTTAACATATATAATAAAAAAACTTTGGCTAGTACATTCCTTATAGGTCCTGTTTTTATACAGAGAAATCTATAAAGAAGTAAACACCTTGCCGATCTCGCAACGAGGAGAAGTAAAGTGTTTAAACAATTTTATCACCAAATCATTAACAATCGAACATGTTGCATGGCAAAAAGATAATCTTTTAAAGAAAAGTTCTTATCTATGCACTATAGCTTAATCTTATGAAGAAAACCACTTTGAAAGATTATGAGCGGTTTTTAAAATATTTCTGGGGTTAAACGTAATATATATATAATTTATTAATACATAGTATAGTTGAACCAAAAAACATAATTTAATTTTTTAAAATAAGCATTGGAAGCAATAATAAACTATAAACAATAAACATATGCATAGAATAAAAAAAAGATAGTTTTATAAGATTTAAAAAATAAAATAAAAATGAATAAATTAGGGCTCAAATCATATTTTTAGCGTTCGGTTACCTTCTCGAATTTGATAAATCATAAAACATAGCTAAAAAATGATTTATGGGTCGCTTAATGACTTTCTGTGGTTTTTTTCGTCCCAACTTTTTCATCGCTGTGTAATAGTGTTTTTGAGATTCGGTGAGAAACATTTCCAACACTCCTCCTTCATACTGTGTTTGAAATGATGAAGAGATAAATATATACATTTAGATAAACATGAATAATAATAACAAATTTTATATTAAAATGTGTGACTACTTTTGTACACTTAGAAAATTTTTAATCTTTGCATTTTTAATACATGAAATAAATTTTTCAAATTCATGAACAATTAATTTAATTAAAACATTGATTTAATTAATTAATTAAATAGATATTATGACCTTTTGTTAACGAATTTTCTTATTTTGTTATTTTCTGTTGAATATGTATTTAAAGCAAACCTGTTTTTTGTTCAGGACCCACGGACGACTTACCTTTTTCTTTAGCATATTAAAGTTATCAATGATAACTCCAATAAATAGATTCAATGTGAAGAATGAACCACACACTATAAAAATTACAAAGTAAATGTAGGCATATAAATTTGCCTCCCGTTGAGGCTGCAAATCAACACCCCGGGCATCCACAGCATCGGCCATTACCTCCATCCAGCCCTCGAAAGTCGCTACCTGCAACAAAGCCAAGTAACCCATGCCAACATGATCGAAAGTGATTTTCGAGTTGATCCACGAGTAATTCCGCTTAATGCAATCCCATTTATCATTAACTTCCTATATGTAGCAATATTTCAAAAGATCTATTAATATCAGTGACTTTAACAAATAAAATAAGATATTTAGTTATATACGTATGTTAATACACTTTATACAATACAAGTATAAAGGCAAAAATTCTTAAGCTTTAAATATTTGGTCACAATGTGACTATGGTACATTGGAGTCATTACTAACCGTTATGGGCAGCAGTTCACCATCAGTGTCGAGACATTTAAAAAATTTACCACCAAAAAATTGCACACCCATTATGGAAAATATTAACCAAAAAACTAAACAAACTAAAAGCACATTGAAAATTGACGGTATTGCATACATGAGAGCATTTACTACAATTCGCATTCCTTGCCACCTGGAATAGAAATAAAATAAAATATGCACATAGTCAGGGGATTTCGATACGCTATTGTTAGTACTATTAATTTGCAAGGATATTGTGGAGTTGAACAATTAAAAACTTTAATCAAATTACAGGGTAATGTATTATAGTTATATAGTTTAATAAGCAGTGTGTTAGAGAAGAAATAAAAAATATTGGGAATATTTTAGGGAATTAGCATGCAACATACAAAAACACAAGCTATAAAATAAGTTTAAATTTAAGTAATAATAATAAACATATAAATTTTACATATTTTAGTAAATAATTCTTTTATTTATAAGAAATTTACTATAAAATTCAATAATACAGAACCAGAAATACAATTTTCACACTTTCTATAATAAATAAACACATAGGGTTTATCTAAAACTTGATGACTAAGTACTTATACTTATGATGTATATTATAAACATCTATACAGAAGCTATAATATATGGTAATATCTGAGATAAAAATAAGACAAAACAGCCCAAATGAACATCAGTCCATAAATACATATAGTACATCCCCAAGGTTAAAGCTAATATTTATTATGATGCCTGGAACACAACTTGACAATATTAATCGAATTAGCTTTTAAAAACTACTCTTGCCTATGTTAATAACTGGGCTTAAGGTACACGTATAGGATTATCGAAGATTATAGTAAGTTTTAAGTTGGAACAGACGTATTTGTTTTTAGAAAAACTGCACAATTTGTTTACTAAGAAGAAACAACTAAAATAAATACACAACAAACTTTTTGTAGGCAGTAAAAATAATCTCTTCACCTGGCCTTTCTCCAAAAATGTTCAGCAATGCAAAACAGATTAACCCATAGATCAGAGCTGTGTGTATGTTGGGTTTGTAGCCATAAAGGCACAGTGGGAAATGAAATGGTTGACAATTTTGCTAAAATTGATGCGAGTGTTAAAACCAAATAGGGAACGACCTAATGCCTCTGAATGATATATACAACCAACTATACAAGTACATTCTGAAGAAAATAAAAAATAGGTGACATAAGTTAAGTACCTGATAATCTGAGATGGTGCTTGAGATAGATAACAGGATTTTCAGTCGTAATAATGATAAAATAACCTCATCCCCTAAATTAATCCTGGAGTTATACCGCTGAACTTTGACTGAATGTTTGTCCTTGTTTTCAAAATTGAGACTACCCATTCTCTGAAGCTTTTCTGTGAATCTATTATGGCAAGTAAGTTATTGATAAATCTCTTGAAAACATTATTGAAGCTTTTCTAGATATCTAGGAAGGCTACCAACGAATATTGTTTGTTGAGTATTAGTTTTTCAACAGTGCGAATGACCTCAGGTAGGTTAAGACATGGACACAAGAAATAGATTTGTAAAAAGCATAGTTAGTTAGTTAGTTAGTTGGCCATTACAGACGTGTGTCGTCCTTGGCCGCGTCGAGTAGCCTCCGCCAGTCAGCCCGATTAGTTGCCTTCTGACGCCAGTTGGTAGTACCGAGCGCCCCCAAATCGTTGGTCACCTGGTCCTTCCACCCAAGATGCGGACGTCCTCTACCGCGTTTTCCACCTGCGGGTACCGAATCAAATACCTTTCTAGTCGGAGCACTTTCTTCCATTCGCACAACATGACTAAGCCAGCGTAGCCGCTGAATTTTTATGCGCTTAACTATGTTAATATCGCGGTATAGCTCATACAGCTCATCGTTCCATTTTAATCGATACTCGTCGCCAACGCGTAAGGAACCATAGATCTTCCGAAGAATTTTTCTCTCGAATGCTCCTAACGCCTTCTCATCACTGTTGGTAATTGTCCAAGCTTCTGCACCATACAGCACGACAGGCATGATAAGGTATTTGTAGAGCCTGATTTTTGTTTGTCGAGAGAGGGCTTTATTTCTCAATTGCTTACTTAGCCCGAAGTAATATTTGTTGGCAAGAGTAATTCTTCGTTGAATCTCTAGCCTGACGTCATTTTTGGTGTTTAAGCTGGTTCCTAAATAAACGAAGTCTTTCACAACTTCGAACTTATAATTGTCAACAGTGACGTAGGTCCCAAGACGCTCAGGAGATTTGTTTGTTGACAGAAAGTACTTTATTTTGTCCTAATTTACCACAAGACCCATTTGTTTTGCTTGTTTTTCTAAGTTGGAAAATGCCGCACTGACGACGCGGGTGTTCAGACCAATGATATCAATATCGTCGGAATACGCAAGCAGCATTACACTTTTTTAGAATATTGTGCCAGTACGGTTTAAATCTGCTGCTCGAATTATCGTTTCCAACATTAGGTTAAAGTAGTCACACGACAAGGAGTCACCCTGTCTGAAACCTCGTTTGGTATCAAACGGCTCAGAGATGTTCTTTCCAATTCTAACGGAGCTGGTGGTGTTGCTCAACGTCATTTTACATAGCCGTATAAGTTTTGCTGGGATACCAAATTCAGACATAGCGGCATAGAGTGTGCTTCTAGTCGTAGTGTCAAAAGCAGCTTTGAAGTCGACAAATAGGTGGTGTGTTTCGATTTGTTTTTCTTGAGTCTTCTCCAGGATTTGACGCACTGTGAGTATTTGGTCTAGAGTGGATTTGCCAGGTCTGAAGCCACACTGATAAGGTGCAATCAGTTGGTTGACGATTGGCTTCAATCTTTCACATAGTACGTTTGATAGAACCTTATATGCGATATTTAAAAGACTGATCCCGCGGTAGTTGGCGCAGTTTGCAGGATCACCTTTTTTGTGGATTGAGCAAAGCACACTTAAATTCCAATAAAAAGCATACAACACAGAAATGTTGATTATTTATAATCAGTGGTAAGGTACAATCTTTGTATCATTTATGTCTTTTGAAATTCTGGGTGCTTCATACAGATTTAAGTACTTCATATCATTGTGAGTTATATTTCCGAGTACAAAGTATATGAGTATATCTCATATACTCTCATAAACATGTTTCATGCCGAGTGCAATAACACAGTTGCAGTTTTTTCGGTTACTATGTAGCGACATCATACACCTAATACTAAATTTTTTTTTAAAATCTATTACTTGATAAAATAATCCGATATTTCGAATTTTTTAGAACTAAAGGGCTTTCCATAAAGAAATATATTCGACACCTTGTATCTCAGTCAATATTGAAAATGAATTCTGTAGTGTATATACGAGTACAGTCGTTTGTTAAATAAACCACATCAATTCAGAGTATCTGGTGCGAAGAAAATTAAAACAAGTTTTCACAAAAATATATCGAATATCTTTAGTTATGATTGTATCAGTTTAATTAGCACTGTTTTAACAAATTTAAAATTTTATAAACTACAGTTGATTCAGTTGGAACACGACAAATTGAAAATTTTTCGGTTTTTACTGAGAGTTTAGTATTTGTTATGAAGTGACGTACGAGAGTATTTTTGTACAAGTTTGTAAAGATTACACTAGTTTACAAATAATTTTAGTTTCCATAGTGAAGTTTCAATTTAAATGAAAGCTTCGAATGTTATATTGAACTTTCTGCACAAAGAACATTTTCTACTTCATTATCCATATTTGAAACACAAAAATTAATAAAGCATAAATAATCTTTGCATAATCTAGATATCGCACATATTCGTTCTATCAATTAATTATAAAGCTCAACACCTAAAAAATGAATATCTAAAATGGGTGAATAAAAAAACAAGGGATTATGATAAAATTTCAACATATGGGGAACAACTTAGAAGTATTTTTTTTAAGTGTATCAACTGGTATCTGGAAAGTACTGAAGATTTTTACTCCACAACGGAAAGTAGAGCTTCACGTTACTTCACAGTAATCAACCGTGCAGGCTTCTGGTAAAGTTACAAGTTAGTAAAAATCAGATTTAACGTCAGGGATTTGGTTTTCTCCAACATGATTGAAATGTACACTGACGATGCCAACCTAAACATCTAAGGCGGCTGTTAAACCTGTTTTAATAAATTGGGTCTTAAGTTCAAAAAATAATTCCTAAATCGCTTTAATTAATCTTTGGTAGGCGTTAAAACCATTTGTTTAGTAGTTCGAGAATTCCGAGCTTTTCTCAACGAGTTGTCTAAAATTCTCACTCTCCAACTTATATGAATATCTCAGGACACAGAGTCATCTCCGGCATCTTGTGGGATAATGGTATCCCCTTTAAAACCCATTTACTGAAAATTAATCGTAAATACCTGGACGTGGCAATGAAAGCCTGAGCATATGGATATTCTTGTTAGATCACAAGACTTGCCTAGTCCAAAATTAACATCACTCATCTGCTTCAATTAAAGTGGAACCACCTCAGTACTACTATATCTGTGTTGACAGGCCATTGTGTATTAGGAAAGAATGCAATAAGACGGCATTTAATTTACATTATTTAATTTACCTAATTCACCTTATTTCTAAATGCCTATATTTGCCTTTGTCATACGGACGTTTTTACAGAATGATGAAGCAGCACTGGGAATGTTCGACAGAAAAGTTCTTTGTAAGAGCGAATTAATATCCTGCGGCTTAGCTGGCTTAGTCATGTCGTGAGAATGGATGAAGATGCTCCAGGGAAAAAGGTATTTGAAGCAGAAGTTTGAGAAAGATGGCGTAGAACTAGACTGTGTCTCCGGTGGAGTGATCAAGTTGAGGGAGCACTAACCGACCTTGGTGTACGAGACTGAAGAAAGCGCGCATGTAGTAGAGGAGCCTGGAAAGACATGCTGCGTCAGGCTGAAACCGGGTAACGGGTTGTAATGGCCACATAAGTAAGTAATATTTGCCTGTGAAAAGAATTAAATCTTTGGTCCCCTTATTTTTATTAACTTCACAGTCATTCTTCAAAACTAAGGTTAAGATTAAGTTTATAGATTTATCAGGTTCTCATTGACTTAAGTGGTGGAATCGCACATACTCAAAGTGACACATTCACACGTTAGATGCTTCAAACTTCCACCATTAGGATGGTATAGACAGTGTTGTATTACACCGGGCTTTTATTTCTGTTTAAATGAGCTTTGGTGCACTAGGCTGGCACTTAACCTAACTTAACCTTACCAAATCATATGGTGATACTGATATACTTTTGAATTGGTGCTAACGGCAACGAAAATTTATCTATGAGTGGCGTTTCACTGTGTAGTAATAATTTTTTATTTTTACTGCTTATTAACTGGTGCCCAACAAAGTCCAAACAGTTATGGAGTCTCTAATCGCAACAAGTAACCAGTCTTTAAACATTCGATGATCATTATTAGCACAAAAAGCTTAAGTAAAAATTCGTACTATCCTTAGTACACCATCGTTTTCAACATAGCTAAGCTATTAATTAGCTATATTACTGGAGTTACTTAAGTTAGTTTTGTTGAAATAAAGCTTATTGTTTACAATACATCATATAATAATCACTAAGAACTATAAATTATACTTTTCGTTTAAGAAGAGTTAAATTTCATTTCAAAATATGAGTGCGTAAATAGTTAATTTAAACTATTTAAATTTAAAACATGCAGTGTGAAATTTGTAAAAATTTTTCAAAAATATATACCAAACCATATATGTAATATATATGTACATATTGATTTATATAAAATATATACAATATAATAAAACTATATTAATTATGAAGTTCGGTCTAAAGCATCTAATATCTTCAGCTAGTTTGTATATATGGTGTATGTCATCGTCTAAAATTTTCTCATAATATTTCTTACTACTACTTATAATAGTTCGTGCATCTATGGAGGAATTCAATAGATAAATAAAATAATTCTAAAATGTTTTGGAAAGCAAAAAGTAACGAATTGCTCTGTGTTTGCAACCAAAAATTTAAACCAACGATCTTCCGCTGCAGAGCTTTACTTCACTTTGGCACTACTACTACAAAATCACTAATAGATAATACTGTCAATGTTCCAGATTTAAAAAGAAAACTCTTCTCTCACAATTTTTTTTCAATTATATTTCGTTCCATTCGCAACTCAAAAAATATTTTTTTCTTTTAATAATAAAATTTTTTTTAAAAATTCGTATATAACTTTTTAAAGGACATCTACAGGATGAAACGCCTCGCACGAAAGAAATTTCTTACGGAAATGTTCGATTATGAACAAATCCAAAGTGCTGTTATTTCTATTCGAAATTCTTAAAGAAGATGGAATTGTATTAAATACTTCCTAAATATTTTATATATGGTATATAATAAATACATTAATTAAAATACGTAAAGTAGGATTCTTTTCCAAGCGAGCAAAGAGAAGGTTCAGAGTAAATAGTAAATAGAAAATTGTCTGAAAAAATAATGCTTGCACAAGAAGATATTTCAAAAATTTATTTGTAAACATAAACAACACATTCCATGGAAAAAGTTACATCTTGTAAAAATACGACACAAGTTATGAGAGTATATAGTTGGTGTACGGATTGACTTACCTCGATATTGCTCTTAGAGGGCGCAAAGCTCTTAGGGTACGTAAAGATCGTAATACTTTGAGGTTTTCATTTTCTTCGATTAATAACGAAAGCACTGATACCTTAAAATGGAATAGAAGGAAAGCACGTTTAAAGCACGAAGAGAGTAAAAAGTAAAAAGTAGTTAGTTACTTACGAAAACTATGATAAAGTCCAGCAATGTCCAAAAACTTGTAAAATATTTCGAAAACCCCAGAGCTAACCATTTTAGCACCATTTCAATTACGAATATTAGACAAAAAGACAAATTTGTCCAGTAAAGTATGCGCTTCAGCGACTTGTTACTGTCTAAGTATATATCCTCAAAGCAGAGCGTTATGCTTGATGCGAAGATCAGTACCAAGACAAACCACTCAAAGGCTGGAGTATCGACAACCGTTAAGACAGCCGTCCTTACGCGTGTCCACCGCGCAGCAGTCTTAGTGCCCATACAAGATATGAACCATGGACAGCGAAAGTAAAAGCTAAAGGTTTTTAAACAATATTTAAATGATTTATATTTATTCATTCATTCTCGTATATTAAGAAAATCATAATTATTATTATTATTAAAAAATTAAATTATTGCAATACGTATACAAGTATTTACTTTTAAATGAAATGTTATTTTTTTTAATGAAAAATGTTTACTTACTGATCGTAGCACTTCTGAGGGAAACAATCTTCTGGCACTTTCGGCGGCTTAGTGTGACCAAAACTTGGATATTGCATTGGATCATTGTATGCTCCCTGCGAGTTACGTCTCCCACCTACAGTGAGATCGTCTACGTAGGAGACCAAACAATGCCATGGCTTTTCAGTCAGCCGTGAAAATGTTGATTTCTGCGACTTATTAGCCTCCGTTCCAGCACCATTTCTGTTGCTGGAGATATTGTGTGCCAGAGCCGAACTTGTGTCGGCCGCACCTGAGCTATGAGATTCGGTGCGAGTTGATTGAAAGGAAGCGGCTTTGTCTAGTTTCGATTGTGGATGCTCCGCGATTTTTTTAACATTTAAATTACCGCCTGCAGCCCTTGGGAGGATCGGTGTTGTGGTTTCAATTTTGGTAGCATGATAGTGTTGCTGATGTTCGGTAAGAGATGCAAGAGGGGGAGTCGCTTTAAGCGATGATATTTGTACTAAACTTGGTGGTTCTATTGTAGATTTTAATGAAACGGGTGGTGTCGGCGGTACATGCGTAGTTGATGGTAGTGATCCATTTTGCGATGCACGACTTAATTGCTTTTGTATGAGTAAATTTTCATAGGAGTTTGTGCTTTTCAATGAAAGACTATCTGTTTTTAGTGCATCAATGGTCAAGTATTTGCGTGGCAGTTTTTCAGATTCCATACGTAACGTTGATATTGGTTTATCTTCTTCAGGTACTTCTTCTACAGGTTCGATTAAGGAAAGACATTTAAAACGATCGAATTGAGCACTGAATAGTTCATTTTTTCGACGTTGAAACGGCGATTGTGTCCCAATTGCAGCAGTTGCTGTAGCAGCTACAGCCATTGCTTCCATTGTCACAAAAGGTGCATGCATTTGATCACAGATTTTACGTATCTCATTTGATATACTAAAATCATCATCAATTTTACGTTGCTTTTCAAGGCTACGTCGCTTTATTTTAATTGAGTTTCTATCAACACTGGACAGAATAGGATGAGGACGTCGAGGTACTGTCGATATATCGTAACTGTCATAAGGGTTTAATGAATTAACAACTTCATCTGCTGCTGTACGTTCGGAAGATCCAGTTATAATTGCGATGTGATCCAGTATGGCCTTATTCGCTTCATCAGCAATTGGGGAAGGTTCTGACAATGTCGAAAGACGTCGCTCTAAAGAAGTTGTGGACCTTTTGATCTCTTCTAGTTCCTTTTCAAAACTTTGAATTATATTGTCAAACTCAGAGTGCTCTACTAGTGGCACTTTTTCAGTTCGTTCATAACCATTACCATTGCCCGAATGAACACTACCATTACGACGAGATTCAAACTGTTGAATAAGAGAGTTGGATAAGTAACTTAAATTTGATTTAATGCTACTAGTTGACGGTTTTCTATCCTCCTTTTTACAATCAACAATAAGTGAATCTGTATCAGCTTCTAATATTGCTGAGCCATAACCAACAGTGTCACTAAAATAGTTATTACTATTGTCTATATCTTCCTGAAGGAACTGAAATAATTCTCTCTGTTCACAATTTAGCAGTTCATCGCGTAGGTTGCCCTGTTGGGATAAAAGTTCTTCGTGCTCTATAGAAATTGTATTTAACGACAAACCGCTCGAATGTCTATGTACATGCAAATGTAAATCATCATCAGACTTAAGACTACGCGAGGGTATTAGCGACCGTTGTGATTGATCACTTGATTGAGACAAACGGTCAAGAGACTTGCGATAACTTGGTGATCTAGTTAGTAAAGATTTTTGGTACTGCAGATAAGCTTCATCATGCTCTTCGCTATAATAGCGACGTGATGAACTATCTTGCAATGAATCTCCTCTGACAAAAGACCCACTGCGATGATCATTAGGGTAAGGATCTGTATCTGTTGAGTTATACTGTCCCATCAACCGTAACTCTATGGATTCTGTATATGTGGGATCATCGCGTGAATCATAATGTTGAGTGCCAAAACCGGAAGACACCTGATGTAATAATTTTCGTTCTGCTTGAGGATATAGTGTATTATAGTCATTATGACTGTTATTGTCTAATTGGCAGGAGCTTGAAATATTGCCCTCATAAGCTGGCACAATTATTTGTTGTTGCTGAAATTGGAATTGCTGCTCCAATTGTTGTTGCGGTGGCAAGTGTATTGGCTGTAAATGCTGTTGTAACTCTTGCTGAAAATCATTTTCATATTCAACGCCATCAGCGATTGTCTGTAAACCATCCTTTAATGGAATTTGGTAACCAAAGTCAGATCCCGATACTGGACGATTCATAGATTCCTTGGGTTAAGAATTATGGCTTACAATAACCAAAATTAGTTATTTTTTTATTAAATATTCTTACCTGATAACTTAGTCTATGGAACTTGGTTTCTGATATCAGGGTTGGCTTTTCGATGGCCAATGTCGAGGCTTGTTGTTGGGCTTCTATAACAATTTGCTGAAACTTTGATGCATATTTTCGCTCCTTGCGTTCCTTACGTTCAAGACGTTTTTTTCGTATTAAATCGCGTACACGTTCAATGCTACGTGCTAGTTTCGATTCTTCACCGACTTCCTAGATTTGAATATGTTTTGTAATGAGTTAATTCTCTTCTTGATATATAAGACTTGGAGAACTTTTGAAAAAAAAATTAATTAGGAAAAATATTACTAAGTGAAACCTTTTTAAAACATTTGGGTTCCACCAATTCCTTAAAAGTTTCATTTAATGTACTCGTATTTCATAAAAAGATTAAATAATAAAAAATAATTTAAATGTTTAAAAAGGTTTCATATATAATTAATTCAGTTATTTTCTATAGGTACCCAATTCTTGCAATTCTAAAACTAAAGGCTTCTAAGGACATTACACAAAATATTAAATCTAAGCAAACAATTTTTGCACCAATCGAAATTAAATTTTATTTAGCATGCAAATTTAATTTAATTAATTTTTATTTAATATGTTATAATTAATTATTTGAAAAAACTTGCTCTCAACATAAATTTCACACAAAATTTAGAACATTTAAGCAAAAACTACATAAAATCTAAAACAAACCAGAACTGAAGGTAAGCGACTTATTTAAAGGATTCAAGGATTTCGGGAGAAAAATTACCTTTTTTTTGAAAATCTGTTTAATATCGTTTTTGGCATATTTTTCAGATTTTCGTTTATATATTTAGTTATAGTTTGTGTGGTTGTAGACAGTTTCAAACGCATCGTGCACGAACAGTTCGAAATCATTTGTTTATATATATTTATATATACATATATATACGTACACGTGATGTAGAGTTTTCAATATAGATTAATTATATCGCGTAGTTATAAAATTTATAATTTTTTTTATTAAATCAAATTTTAACACAGAGCGCACATATAAGAACACGAAAATATATATATAAATATAAATATATATAATATTTATTTAGAAAGGAAATTTCACATTTAAATATTAATGTTAAGTTTTATTTTAATTGCAAACATGGAGTCATAGATTTTTAGCATTAACACAGGAAAAAAGACAATAAAAACATTAATTAACATTTAGATTTTAGAGTATAAGGCATACAGTTATATGAGTAAGTAGATGATTTTAAGAATATGCAATTCCGTTTCAATACTTTTTCATTAATATTATAATTAATTATAATTTTCTAGCCAAAAAGGGAGCAAAAACACCTTTCGTAGACCCGGAAACCTGCCTAGTAAGGGAAAAACAGAATTTCACTTCTAGAGAGCCCAAAAAGACATGTGACAGTCAAAAAGACTTATTATCCCTTAACATATAAAAACTGAAGCTGTTCTGAACTTAAGCAGAAGAGATATCAAACTCTACATGGAACTGCTAACAGATCACTGTAGACTACGATACCTTCTGAAACACATTGGTCTGGCACAAAACTAATTCTGCCGACTCTGACAGGAAACATCAGAACACGTTTTATGCATCTGCCCAGTCGTGGCAAAACGCAGACTTGATTATTAAGGCAGTGGATTTTTGAGCCCTGAACACCTAGCTAAAATACGGCTCACAATTGTGACAGAATTCTTTAAATGTTTGGAATTGAACTAGTTGGGCGAAAAGCTGCACAAAAGATCGCAGTGTATGCATATCTATAATAAAAAAAAAAATAAAATTATAATAAAGAACAAAAGAATTATTGTTCCCAAATTATCATATTTCTACAATCCATCCTTAAAAGCAGTATACCTAATACAAACCCAACCCACACTTCTAAATACAAGCAAATCATTAAGCCCGCTTTACTGTATGGTGACGTGGCAAATGACAAAGTGCATAAATCCATTATTAAACATAAGCTTCCCAGAAAATTCCGCTGAAAGATATCGTAAAACATACATGATAATAGTATATCGAAACGTTAGATATATACTACCTGTAGTAGCGTATATAATGGATTAGTTTTGTAGTTCAAACCTCACCCTAAAATTTTTTGTAACATTTTACACTAGATATACAGTAACACCCTGCTAAACGCTGCTTCGTTAAACGCTGTTCTGGTTTAGCACTCTTTTATTTCAACGACAACTGAGCGAATACGCTGTAGAAAACATAAATCTTTCTTGGATTGAGATAACAGAAAGATCTTTTAAGGGACTATGGAAGAACATTTGGCCAGATTTAAGTAAGAGCGAAGACATTGGACACTCTGTCGATATGTATGAAATAGTGGAAGAAATAGTGTAATTAGCGAAACAAACCGGTTTAGATGAGGTAAATGTGAAAGACGTCGAAGAAATAGTTCAAGAAACAGCAGCTAGTCTTTCTAATGATGAGCTCAAGGAATTAAATGTGCAAGAAGAAAACAAAAACATTAATGCTAGTGATTTCGAAGAAGAGCAAAAAGACCTTTCTTTTACAGACTCCGTTTGTAAAAAGGAGTTTGACCACTTCAATTGAAATTATGAACCAAATTGTTGAAAATGATCCAAATTTTGACAGGAAAATCAAAAATCAAGACGTCAAAATCAACACGGGGTGTTATAGATGCTTTATCCACTTATCAACAACTTCTAATAGAATGCATAAAGGAAACGTAAACTACATCAGATGTTTTCTTGACAAGAAGGCAGATAATTGGAAACACAGAATAAACAAAATGATCTGACTGACTTAGAATTTTATTTGCTTTTATATATATTCGTTTACATCGTTTTTGTTTTTGTAAGAAACAAATATTTGGTATTTAATTTAATACCTAAGCAATTTTCTATCAAACTTCCCCTAACCCCATTATTTATATGTTAAGATAGCCTCGTTTAGCACTGTCTCGCATTACGCTCTATTTTGATGGAATGTTTCCTACGCGTTTAGCGGGGTCTTATTGTAATAGAGTTTTTTCAATTAAATATTTTGATAAAAATAAGTTTTTTAACATTACTTTTTAAATGTGTCTCTATATACGCACATATCTATAAATAATCAACGTTATAAAATACATCCACGGTTGCCACTTATGGTACTTTAGTACTAAAATTGGTACTTTTTTTTCCGTTTGGTACTCATGTTCAAAAAATGGTACATTTTCGGCGACCCAACTTTATTGTGGATATTGTATTGTTTTATACTTTTTGTACATTTTATATAAATTGTATTTCCTTATAAAAAGACAATAGAAAAATTTTGGACCTTTTTTTACAGAAATGGTACCTTTTTAAACCAATTTTGGTACAGAAAAAAATTTTCAAATGGCAACCGTGAATACATCAAGAACAAAGTATAAAAACTGTTCGAACAAAACTGTAAACAAAGCAAGCTATTGTATTAAAATAGAGTCAACATTATTAAAATCTTGTAAGCATAACATTTATATGTACTACTCACAGTTTTACTGTCAACACTTAAAACAACGCTGTTATTAATATTGACCAAAACATTTAAAGTGAATGAGAATTATAATATGAAACAAGCTTACATATATGTTTAGCACCTATTTAAGTCACAAACATCAAAAACGATCATAATTGTGGATAATTTAATAAAAATTTACGTTTTATTCAACAATTCTCTGTAATTTTTTAGCACAATATATATTTTGTTTATGCAGAGAAATATGAGAACTAGAAAGGTAGACCATATGGAACAATAGAAGCTATTTGAGCATAGTTTGATGTTATTAACTAAACATTCGAATAATCATTTAGGAATAATGAAATGCTTTCGTTAAAAATTATGAATTATAAATTTATATTAATTAACAACGCAACGGCTGTTCTACTTCTGATTTAAATTCACAAGAGACCACTATAGCAGTAGTTAATTAATGAATTAATAGCTTGTTTTGAGAGACCCATTCCTTGAACCTTATGTCTGTACAGACCGTAGTTGTGCAGACTTCTTATGGAATTACTGAACAGTTACGAAGTACACTTTGGATAACAAAATAATATCGCACACAAAGACACATTCGTAGTGGCTCAAATTATACCTACTACATAAAATCATCTGATCATAAAAGATAACGAAAATCTTCATGGACCATACTAAGCTAAGGCGATTGAGTGTAAATATTGTGTCAGATTAAAAGAGTTTTTAGGACCAACGTTATTAACAAGGACTTACTAATATCTGTGGGAATGTGAAGCTATATTAAGCAGAATATTAGGATCGAATATAAGTATTCAAAGAGGAAATTCGTATTTGTATTTATGTGTCAGAAAATTAGAGTCAGAACATCTTCATTAGCAGTCAGTCGAAAAAAAAATTAAGTTCAAAAGTTGTAAAAAAGTTATGGTGTCTGAATTTATAACCAATACCATACATATATATAGAACAAAATACAAAATAGTATTAAAATTTAACAAGTAAAAAAATAAATATAATTAATTAATTCAGTTATTCTGATTATATCTGCTTTATGATTTCATTCTAATATAAACACAGCAAGCGAATTTGTTAATAAACTTTCACAGCAAATTAACAAAACTCCAGAAAAATGTGCGAACATAAGTTAAGTACGGCTATGGGTTAGTTGGTTAAGAAGCGCTGACTCTGAGCTTTAAAATTGGTAGGGCACGAGTTTGATTCCTGATACTTGCAGTCTCAAAAAATTATTTACGAATAATTAAATATAAGAATTATTTCCAAGCCCACTGAAGATGGGTTTCTGACAATACTCGAAATAGCTGTATGGTCAGCCAATTCAATTAATGAAAATAATATAAAATGAATTTTTGTTGTTGTAGGTCACTACTTTTCGAAGCCTCTTTATAAATTATAATTTCGAAATAAAATAATTTGCTAAATAATTTGAAAAAGTATTGAAACCGAGACTTTCACGTGAAGAAAAGATTGACGAATGAGAAAATATCATGAGTACATAGCAAATATATTTAATGTTCCTTGTGTCGTGAAAAAGCGAAATAAAGATATTTTATGTTAAAATTTAAAATAGCCTTTCAAGTGTGCTTAAAAAAAAGATATTTTTTAATTTTTTCCTTTAAGAATTAATACAAAAATCATATAAAATCTTTAGTGAATGAAAAGAAAAATAGTTGCATTAACTATTTTCTTATGAAATGATAAAACGAATGCGAAATGATTAACATTTTATTTAAAATTTTTAATTAAATTTGGTATGCATTTTAACATCTTGAATAAACACAATTCCTACTAACATCGATAATCACATCAAATAATTGCTTTATTTTTTTTTTTTAATTGTTGTTTAGTTTTGGATTTAATTCCGCAAGGAATTTTCAAATTGTCCTTTCATTTTAATTTTAATTTTAGTTATTTAAGTAATTTTTTAATTTTTTAGTATTTTTATTATAAAATTAATCAAGACACCCAAACACATATAAATAAAGTTCTCATCAATCTCTTATGCGCATTTTGAATTGAGATGCAGGTGGAGTGCACAGATCCTGCAATACTTACCTCCTTTTTGGACTTCAATTCCTCTGAATTGAAACTATTGAGCAACAAGGCCAAGAACAAGTTTAGCACCATAAAATTTCCCATAACGAGAGTTGGCAAAAATATCGCAAAGCAGGACGAAGCTCCTTGCTGCAATAAATATGAGAAATAATTTACTAACATGGATCGTTTTATTTATTTTTAAATAAGACACGAACCTCTTCTTCTGCTCGCATACAATCCCAAAGTGGCTCGATCCATTCACCACATAATATGCGAAATATCATCATGAAGGAATGAAAGAAGTCATTGAAGTTCCATCTATTAAAGTAAGAAATAAATCCAGTTGATTGCATTACTACATCTGCAGCCTTATGAATTCAATCTATTATAATCTTACCTTGGCACTGGGTCTGGATCGAATTTTTCAGGTGTATAGTCTTTTGAAAACAGTTGCATACCAATCACAGCGAAAATATATATAACTATAACTAAAATAAGGGTCAGATTACCCAAAGCACCTATTGTCGAAATAATAATGCTGAGCAGAACTTTCATCGTCGTCCAGGATTGTGCTAACTTTAAAACTCTTAGCTGAAAGACGCACATTTTTAACAAAATAAAATTAGTATGGTTAGAAAATTCTATTCCAATAACTGCATTAAATTAAATACTTACCAATCTCAAGCCCCTTAATACACTTAAACCATCTACCAACTCAAAAATTATATCTAACAGACTTGCTGTTACAATGATGAGATCGAAAATGTTCCATCCGCAAAGAAAAAAATCCTTTGATAAAGCCATTAACTTAATAATACATTCGAACGTGAAGATCGATGTGAAGACCTGCACAAAATAATAATTTAATTTTCTTATTACATATATACATATACATATATATGTATGCATATATACATATATAGATTTATATATATGTACTTTTGTATAAAAGTTATGGAATGGGTATGGGTAATCTTACTTTGTTTCCCACATCTAATGCATTGCGAAAGTTCTCGCTCATGCCGTGGTGCTCCATGGCGAGAAATGCCGTGTTCAGTACAATGCACAGCGTTATGGCTAGTTCAAAAAGTGGGTCTCTAACCACCTGAAATGATATGCATTTTTATTTTTCTTCATTAATTTTTCGGTCATAAATTACCTTATATAAGCAATTTTGTATTTGCAGCCAACCCTCGTAGTCAATGCAACATTGTACACATCTGTCACAATTACGATCTGGAAGATCATCTGTAAGATATTTAAATAATGTTAAACATTCATACATTGTTTTGCTGTTGTAAGTTACCGATAACAACGATTTCGGAAGAAAACTCTTGATGCAACGCATAAATGTTATGCTTTTTGATTCGGGCAATGTTTCCATTGCATTTTATTAGACGCACCTCGCGTGGCGATAGTGCCAACGTTACTGGTGTAAGCTCGTTTTGTAGTTCCACTGTTGAAACGTTGACCATTTCAGTGCCAGTGTCCTGTTCCTCGTGGTCGTCAACAACTCCCGAATCATCTTGCGAAGATTCTCGATTCATGCCGCTTGAGTTGGAACTTGCTTGTCGACTTGTGGGCAGTAATTGACCTTTGTAGTCTGAGGGGTAGAGCATGTTTGGATTTTTAGTGCTTTCGTCCTGAAAGCAGATACGGGTTTTTTGTTGCGCATCTTTCGCACAATGTGGTTGCTGCGCTTGTAATTCCAGTGCTTTTGGTCGCTCTGTGTTGCTGTGGCGTGGACTCGGACTCGGGCTCGGCGTAACAGATCTACTTTTACTCTACAAGTGTGTAAGGAACGTAAATGTGTAAATTAAGGAATTAAGAAAACAAAATATGTATCTTTTGTGAGCATACCTGGCCATTTCCGTTACTGTCGTTGTTATTGGCACCATCCTTCCCTGACTTAAGCTTTTTTCGCCGTGTCTTTTTCTTACTGTATGAGGCAAGTAGAACACCTTTTCGAGAATCAATTTTCTTCTTGTTGTTTTTGTTTAACTTTTTTACGTTTAGAACGGACGGGTCAAAGCTAAAAGTTGAATCATCTCGGTGATCTAGTAAGTCTTTTTTGCGTTCCTACGAATGAGTTTATTACAATTTACAGTTAAAATAAAAAAGTATGGAAGAATGACTTACTTCATTGGTGATTTCCGCTTCCTCCTCGTAACTTAACGCTACAACGGCTAACATTAGGTTTATTAAGTAAAATGAGCCAAAAAACACAACCACAGTAAAAAAAGATACACTCATTGGTCCTGATGTGGCCAAGACCTTAACAATTGTATAGAAGTTGTACTTTAGTTTCCATTTTCCAAACATTTTCCAAACATCAAGAATTCAACTTACCATGTTATAAACATTTTCCCAGTAGTCCAGCGTGATCAACTGAAATGTCGTCAGCATGGACCACATGAAGTTATCGAAGTTGGTGTATCCATGATTTGGGTTCTCGCCAACACACAAACACGTATAACCAAGTGGGCAGTGACGTGCGCCGGTCAAGTTACCACACAGCATTGGAAGCTCTTCTTCGTCATAGAGCCAGTTTTCCGTATCGTTAATCCAGCTACAAAAGAGAAATTAATTATTGCATTTTAATATATTTCCAAAAAAGTGTATTGCTTACATTTTCCACTCTATATCGGTCGCATTCAACCAATCATCTGGAAGATTTTTTACACACTTATTGCGCAGCTCCCCCATGTAAACCTGAAAAGATAAAGAATTCGCTTAATCATGCGCATTCACTGCTTTATACACATCTAAGGTGTATGCAGGAACGATTCACTTACTTGCAATGCAAACAGTGCAAAAACCATTAAACAAAATATCGTCAGCGTCATGACCTCAGCCAATTGGCGGAACGAGTGCAGTAGTGCGTTGATGATAGTTTTAAGTCCTGGCATAATTGAAACAGTCTTAAGTGCTCGCAGCACGCGAAATGTACGCAAGCCGGCCAGATTACCAACATCCATGCCGATGGTGGCGTAGCCGCTTGTGATGACAACGAAGTCCAGCCAATTCCACGGGTTGCGCAAGTATGTGTATTTGTTGAGCAAAAATCCTTTCGCAATGATTTTAATTACCATCTCAATGCTATAAATGGCAAGGAAGATGTACCTGCACACAATACAATACAATTAATTAATGAATTAATGAAGTAATTTTTTTTTTTTAATTAAACTAAATCATCAAAACTTACTCTGCTTCCTCCACTGTCTCAGTCATGGCTAAGAAAATGCAATTGAACAAAATTGTGGCCATGACGCAATAATCGAAGAATTGATTGGTAGCTATGTAGACACAGATCCTTCGTATCGTGCTCCACGGGTGAAACAGGAAGAGACTTTTGGTGCCAGTAAAGCGATGGATATAATTTTTACGAAATCGCTTCGAAACAACGCAGAAAGTCTGGAAATAAAATAAAATGTTTATGTTTATAAATTTCTTTTATATTATATGTAAGTCTCAAATAGTAAGTAAAATTTTCCAAATAAAATTAAAATTTTTGAATCTTAATTTTGCCATCTAGTGTTCATATTTTATTAACAAACGTGCCATCTGTTGTTTAAATTGTACTGAAATATTTTAATAACGTGTTAGCCATCTACCGTTCAAAAATGTTATTGCAAACTTTAAACATTTTGCGCCCTCTTGTGCTCAGTTATATTTTGTACATTATTGCAGTTTGTTTAAAATTTTTATCGTAAATTATAATAACGATTATGTTTTTATGTATATTAAAATCAATTAAGTTGTGTATAAATTATTTATATATAATATATGAAAAAATTAAATTTATTAATTAGAAAAAATATTGAGAGAATTTTATAATAACATTATTATTATTAAGTTTCACGCAGATATGTTGGACATTTTAGCTTATAAACACTAATGACCACAGTTTCATGATCATTTAGAAAAAATTTAAAATTAATAATTAATAATTAGTTGATAAGATATAGAGACATACATTTAATACGCAGATGCCGTTGTAAAATTTAACGCATGTCTGACTACGTATTAAAATCAAAACACTCCGCTTTCATTCAAAAAATTGCTTAGACATCAATATCGGTTATAAAAATACTTAAAATCGAGTTATTTTATTCACACAAAGTCTCGACAAAGTCTGACCACGTGTAAGTCACTAAAATCCAAAATTTTCTGCATATTCTGAAAGTAAACTTGATTTGAAAAGCGGAAACACGGACAGCTTATACTTTTAATAGATTTGTTGGTGTTTACTAAATTTAAGTATTTCTTAACCATTGGTTAAGAATCTCTGGTTATCTAAAGGTAAGTCCACACCTAAGCGAACGCTTGCGAACGAACGAACATTCGCAGGTAATGTGGACGGCAAAGCAAACGCGAACGATTCGATTTGTAGTGTTCGTTAGCATTCGGAAGGATTTGCGTTCGGCAAGAAATTTGAGTAGAGTTTGATCGTTCGTTCGCTCACATTTGCTATGTAATCTGGACGTCTACTAAACGCAATAGAACGTTCGTACAAATTTATTGTACATTTGTGCGTAGATGACATGCAAACGAATGTTCGTTCATTTGATGTTTTCTTTTATGCAACAATCGTGATTAGTCGTGTGTGTAATTATATTACATAATCTATTATATAATATATAAAGTATATAAAATATAAATATAATAATATATAAAGAAATGAGCAATAACGTGATTATAGCTAGTGCTGCTTTCATAGTTATATCTGAGGGCTCCAAAAAAAAGCGTAAATGTTGGATGTCAGAGTTTCTGAATAAAAGAAATTGTATATGCACACCGCTTTTTAAAGAACTGGATGTTAAACGCTTTCATAACTTCTGTCGGATGTCTGAAATGGACTTCGATAAGATTTTAAAATTGATATCTTCTAAAATATCGAAAGAAGATACAAAGTTTAGAAAAAGTATAACTCCAGCAGAAAGACTGGCAGTCACCCTCAGATTTTTGGCAACTGGGGATTCATTTACCAGCTTGGAGTATTTATTTAGAATATCGAAGCAATCTATATCCAAAATTGTACCTGAAGTTTGTTCGGCTTTGCTCGAAGCATTGAAAGAATATGTGAAGGTAAGATTTTAATTCAAATCAATAACTTTATTAATAATTAAAGCTATTATACAAGTATAATTATATTAAAAACTGTATGTCAAAAGCTAAACTTAAAGTAAACTGATAAAAAATTATAATTATTGATATAACTATATTAATATTATTATATAATATTTAATAATCTGCTCCACTATCGTAAAGTGGATCGGATGATGACAGCACTTGCTGACCACATAATTGAATATTTTCGACAACATCACTTTGTGTAAACAAAAACACTTGTGGTTCTGTAGCATCATTTGTTTGATTCAATGGTGACGGCAACGGGGAAGATGTATTTGGAAACATGTCAAACGCTCCCATATCAGCATCAAATATAATATTATTTATTTTGTGCTGTACGACGTTCATTGTCCTTTTCGAATATGTCCTTAATTTACGCGCAATATGATCTCCATATACTGCGCAGTCATCATTTTTCGCAACAGCTTCTTTCAATATCTTGTAAGCTTCTTCTATCTTCGGGTTTTCGTTGTGCTTACGTTTTGATGGCGCTTTTTTGGGTGACTTAAAAATTCGGTTCGCATTATCCTCCACGGAAATTTCGATATCATTCAGTGTTTGATCTTGGATTGGATTAGAATCACAAGTTGAAAGCTGTGAAATATTGTTAAAATTTTAATATATTTTTTATAGACTTTTACTTTTTATCTAATGATGTTTTCTAATACAGATATATTTCTTTTAAAATCAATTTTTCAGACGCCTATTTCTCCTGAAGAATGGTGCGCTGTTGCTAAAGTTTTTGAACAGAAATGGAACTTCAACAATTGTATCGGAGCTATAGATGGAAAGCACTGTGTTCTTCAAGCTCCATTTCATTCAGGAAGCGATTACTTCAACTACAAATCTTCTTTTAGTATTGTTCTTCTGGGTATTGTGGATGCAGAATATAAATTTTTATATGCTAACGTAGGTTGCCAAGGAAGAATATCAGATGGCGGCGTTTTTAATAACAGCGCTTTCTACAAACAACTTAAAAATGAAACTTTGGGACTACCAGAAGAAATGACGTTGCCTGGGAGCACAAACAAAGTACCATTTGTTTTTGTTGCTGATGATGCTTTTCCACTGAAACCAAATATTTTGAAGCCCTACAGCGGAAAACACGATAAAGGCTCAATAGAGCGTATTTTCAACTATAGACTTTCCAGAGCTCGTACAGTCGTTGAAAACACATTCGGAGTTTTGTCCAGCGTTTTTCGTGTTTTAAGAAAACCTATTCAATTACAGCCAGAAAAAGCATCTATTATAGTTTTAGCTTGTATACATCTTCACAATTTTTTACGGTCAAGCAGTTCTTCGAAACATTTGTATAACCCTCCGGGGACACTTGACAGTGAATGTGATGGCATTGTTACTCCAGGCACTTGGAGAACAGACACTAACGATTGCAATTCTTTTAAATCTTTACGAAAAGTGGCTAGAAAGCCTCCAGCTCAAGGTGAAGATATTAGAAAGCTGTATGGAGAATACTTTATGGATGCAGGAAAAATTCCTTGGCAGGATTATTATGCGTAGATTTTCTTTATTAAATAAATTACGTTATTAAGCTTATTTTTTAATACTATTAAAAAATTACTTGTAAATACTAAGTCAGGTTTAAGAATAAACAATAAAAATCCAAAAATTTACATAATGTTATTTCATTCGTTAAAAACTAATCAATTTTTATTGCAAAAAAACGATCTTACATAAATATTGGTAATATATAAATGAATACATACTTCTTGTAGACCAACGTCAGTAACGTTTTTTGGTTGGAATTTATCCAACAGAAATTCCATCGCTTTAAAGCCAAACCACGTGGACTTATATTGCTCATCAGCAGCACTTCCAGACTTCTTTTCTTTTTGCTTCTTCCGCTCGCGTCGAAAAGACGATAACAAAGAATTCATTTTTTTCTTAATGTCGTTGACATCTATTTCCATATCATGAGCAATATCTGTCCAGGCATCGTGTTTCATTTTAATATTTTTGTAATTAGGACTTGTACAGTCCCACAAACACTCTTTATTCCTGTACAGTTCAATTAATTGAAAAACGCGATTATCTCGCCATTCCATATTGATTTGTAAATATAAAAGTATTTTAAATAAGACACTAGACACTAATAATATAGAATATGTGAACACATTCGTTCATTGTTCCATCGCTAAGCGAACATTCACGAACGCAAACAAATATTTCTTTTCATACAAAATATTCGTCCACATCTAACAGCAAATACAATCGACCAAACGAACGAATTGGTACAAATTTTACAGCAAACGCAAATGCATCGGAACACTACCAAACTCTACAAATGCGTTCGCTCGCAATTGTTTCATCGTGTAGACCACCTTACAAATTTTTGTTCGTTCGCTTTGTTTCCTATAAAGTTTTTTACCCGTCCACACCTAAAATAATTCGCATGCATTTGTGCGAACGTTCGTTCGCAAGCGTTCGCTTAGGTGTGGACTTACCTTAACACGCTTAATAATAAGTTAACCGTTTATGATTAGCAGAAATTCTAGCAATTAAAGCAGTTTTTCTGTCAAAATAAAATATTTATCATCATATTGCATGGTTTATTTATTGGGTCTGAAGTTATATTAAAATAAGTACAATTTTTTTATCTTTTGTGTAATATTATATTTATATGTTTATTGTATTTAGAAATTTGAATTAAGATTTCAAGTAAGCATGTAATCACTTGTTAATTTTAATGAAGAACTTAGTTGCTTTTATTTGTTATATCAATTTTTTTATAAAGCAAGAAAATTTTCTACATTTATTTGTCGCTTGAATTTTTGATTTCCAAAATTTAAACAAAATTAAAAATTAGTATCATTAGAAAAAGATTTTAAGAGGTATTAAAAATATTTTCTGAACACTTCATCAAATCATCAGTTGATCGAAGAAAATCAGTCAGTTAACAAAAATTTCCGTTAAAAATTTAAATGATTGGATGTGATTTCTAGGTGCTTAAAATTAACCGGAGAAAGATAAGCATTTAATTAGTAAGTTAAAATATATAATATATATTGATATATTGACGCAAATTAGGTGTGTCTATAATTTTAAACACAGATATTAAATCTTGTAATAAGTTTTGAAAAAGAATTAAATGCCTTGCTTGGTAAATAATGTAAAAGTCAGGCAAGCGTATGCCTTAACAATATTTTTTCTCTGATGAAATTACAAAAATTACATTTAGAAACCTTTACAAAAATATGTAGTAAGAACATACATAAAATACATCAAATTATGCTTTAAAATTTAAATTGCATTTTTATGTGGAATAAAAATTTAGATCGTTGTTTGCGCCATCTACATTTCATTATTCTTTTTTAGTTAAATGTCAAAATTATCGATTTACTGAAGGCGATTGTCAGCACTGCTCCGCATCGCTGCGAAGCAAAGCTGTTCAGCCAAGCAATTTCCTGTTCATCGTTCTTTCGTTCTCGAGTCGCCTTTGTGTGAAGAAAGAAAAATGAGAGCTAAGGTACTTGTTTGCAAATTAATATAAAAAAATTTGGTGTTTGCATTTATTAACTTATAACAGTGTTTTATGTAAATTATTTAAGTAACTGAACATAGAAATATTGAAATTTAATTGAAAATATAAATGCTTTAATGTTTTGTAGTGTAATTTTGCGCAAGTCGCCATATTTGCTTGTGAATAAAAACACGTGTTTTTTTTTTTTGCATTTTCTGCTAGGAAAATAATTTAAAATCAATTTTTGTTTTTAATTTCAGTGGCGTAAGAAGCGTATGCGTAGGTTGAAGCGTAAACGCAGAAAGATGCGTGCAAGGTCCAAATAAACCCGTATTAAGTTGTTAAGGTAAGCGACGAGTCAGAAGCGCTCCCATGCATTGCGAGGGCTTACGCTAATTTGTGTTTTTTTCTTTGCAGGTCTTGTTTTATACATCTCCAAACGCAAAAATAAGGAACTTCCTGTTTAATTGGCACCAGTGCGCTTTAAGAATTTTCCTCATGGAACATGCGTAAAATTTTTAAAATAAAGAGAAATCTTTGGATTATTCAAGAAGTCGAAATAATTTGCATTTTTTTAATTGGAATTTGAGGGAACGACAGTTGCTGTAGTGGTTGATTGATTGTTTTTTCTAATTGGCAGTAAATATTCACTGAGAACAGGCATTTCCAGTAAGAATTTTCACGTAATGAAACCCTACTTAGTTTTGGATGAAATGGGCGTCTAATAAGAAATATTTAGGTATTTTTGGAAATAGTTGTGTGCAAAAATTAAAGATTATATTCAAAGAATTTTATTTGTTATGTGAAAATTGGTTAAGTGCAATTGTTTAAGTGCAGCGAGATCGTTAACTTTTGTTCAGAAACATCCAGATAAAAGAGTATATTGCAATCAATGAAAATTTGGCGCAGATGTTTGAGTCTAGAGTAGTTTTTATAATTTGGTGGATTTAAAAATTAATTAGTTTATGCATATAAGTAATGCATTTTTCTCAGATTCTAAATTTTTTAAGAAGATTGTTATAGGTTTTTCTTAGTTTTTGCGGAACTCTTAGTGAACCTAAATCTGTATTTTAGGTTCGTATCTTTCTATTCAGCGCTTTTAATTTGTATCGGAAGTGTTAGTAACACGGCGATTTGTTACGGAACTGATATTAACGATATACTTGTAGTAACTGAACTAGTAGTAATGTGGTGACTAACAGTAAGTAACTAGTAGTAGACTGGTTCTTGTGCAACTGGAAGTAAAGAGTAGTCTTAAGTATTGTCAGTTGTTGAATTTGTATTTGATTGAATAAATATCTCGGCAGTTTATAGAATATCTCTTCAATACGAAGGCCTGAAAACTGAACTGTCGTTTTGGAACAATTTTGGTTGTTTTGTGATCTAAAACGTACCACATGTTTATGCTGTTGTTCCAAAGGCAGAAGCATTTGTTAGACATTACGCAATGGATTTAGCAGAAGAATGGATTGCTTACTCGTTGGGTAGAGCGCCATAAAGTAATAAGATTTAAATTTGTGTGTGCGATTGTTTAAGAAAACAGATGGGTGATATTACAACAGTTGTACCGTTTATTATAACATGATTATATTGCTATGAGATCTCGGGTTTTGTGGACTACCTTTTCATTGCAGAAATCTATTTGAAGACAAAATAGTTTATTTCGTATATATGAATAGATTTATTCTTCAACTCGTTTATTGGCTATGAGAATGCTTGTTTTAGACTGTTACTTTCTTATTACAATAGGAACTCTACAGTTGGCTACAACATAGCAGAAGCCTTTTTGAGTTCATATTTCTGGGAAGTGTACATAATTGAATCATCAGGGGCTAACATTATTCATATTCCAAATGCCAGTGACTTAATGGAACTGTATAAATCATTGACATAAATCATTTGTGTAAATGTATATTTTAGTTGCTGTATTACCCTGGTTCTCGGTCGATTGCTCGACATGTTAAAATTCCCTGTTCTGTTAATTTTATTCACCTATTATACGACATGACTAGTATACATTATGTTAATCAAATATTAGCATTTCTCGATTTTGAAACACTATATCAGTCGCAACCAAAGGAGGAAGACTTGTTTAGTTCAAAAAGGGTTAGGAACTAGTCACCGCGTCACTGCATCCTCGAGGATTATTGTGACATTTATTGTGTATTTAGTTACTTTGTTATTTATGATGATAAGTGAGGAATGTCTGGAATTTTTGTTTCGTTCTGATATATTTAATAAGCAGATTTGCACAGGGGGCTCAATTCAAGTGTTCTATATATTTAATCCACTAATGTTTTTGCTTGTTGTAAATAACTTTAAAAATAGAAACATGATTTGTCGAATTGAAACCACATTTAAAACGATATCGGACCTACCGAGGTTGTAAAAATATAACCATATCAAATGAATTTCAACTTGACGAATCAATAACAATATAATCAAATTTTACGTTCTTATTTATAAAAAGTGTAAAACTTATGATCAAAATGAGTAATATTTTCAACAGTTTTGCGAACTGTATAGAGATATCGTTGTAATAATCAATTTCAGTAAAGAATCATAGACATGCGACAACAATATGACACATCGTAAAACCTGTTCCAGATATTTTATTTATATGTTATTTCTTTTCCATTGGTCTTGCTTAATGAAATACACTACAACAATTTAACACAACTTGAGAAGGATATACACAAAAATTATTAAGACTACAATAAAGCTTAGAAAGTAATAGAATGTCAAGAAAGTAAAATACATACATAGAACCTTAAATTAAGAATTTAGGAGAAGCTCATTTATATCTTAGAAGTGAATTAACTGAAGCTGCAAATTTTTAGATTTGAAATGTGGACCTTTCAAGTGCAGTATATATTGAATATGAGAAAAAATATTATATTGAAATAGCTATTTTAGTATTACTAACAATAAATTTGTCAATATATAACGCCAGATAATTATATTCTTCTGATATTTGAAAAAGTTAGTAACATGTACAGCAAAAGATTTTTAATGAAAATTTTTCTCAATTGTATATAACTTTTCATGTATCAATTCATCACTGTAATATAATAAAACAGAATATCTTCCAAAGTTATAGTCTCAGTAGCCAGCACTATTTTATACATTTTAGTTTTTATTTATACAAACTAAACTATCATTATTAATAAATAAACAAGAAAGTCTTCCAAAATTTTTGTATGATACACAAGTAAAAACTCCTTTTTTTGTTAGACCGGATAACAGAAAGGTATGTGGGTTAATAAAATGAACTCTTTCCTAAATGTGCTCATTGAAGTTTCGATAATAGAGATTTCACTGTATATATGTATGATACGGATTGTACATAGATAACAAAACAAAATATGATTTTCAAAAAATACTACACCAAGATTTAGGAAATAATTTACTGATTTTTATATTTTCCATAATGTAGAGTACATAAAATAAACTGATGAAAAACTATAGAAAAACAAATTGTTTAATTTATTAACACTAAATATGAAGTATTTTGCAATTAATATACAATGATTTTTTGTTCTGCAATATAAATTTAAACTAAAAGATTTAAATTTGTTAATTTTATTCTACATATAAAGACTACAATAAAAATAAGTTTATGGTTCACAGTAAAGCTACACTCGCAAAGCTTTCAAGGTAGTAAAACCAAAATGTGGCAGCAGTTTGTTTACAGCGGCTTGCAGCATAAATGGCAACACCAAAACCGAAATCAGCTGTTAAAAATTTTGTTTACATACACGAATATAAGAAAGTAAAAGTTTAGAAAAATTATGTTGCGTTAAAAACAGTGCTTTCATAATAATTATTGTGTAATAACAGTGTTTTATGCAAACTTCAAAACACATATATACAAAACGTAAATACAATATCTTGTAAGTTATTATAAAAGTTTGCCGCAGGACGCTTAATACGCATTTTATATTCGCCAGAGCTTTTATATTCTTTTGAACCGGTGTTTTATTATTTTTTATATAAACGCCAACTCAGAAATTATTTAACCTAATGTAGAATCAAAAATTATGTGATAATGCATTTATAAAAAAAAAAAAAAGTGAAATTATTAACATGTATAACAATTTGAAATATACATATAAATCTTTTTGCAATTTTTCCTCATTAAATTTGATTGAAAATATTTACTAAAAGAAAACATGTGCAGCTGGGAAGTATAAATTCGTAGCAACACTGCGCCCTTTATTTACGTCAGTGCAAAACATACCAACAATATTTAATTTATTGAATGAAATCTTATAATTTTATTGTGTTACAATTTGTTATTAAAAAAAATCAAGTTCAATGTTTACGTATTTTTCTTGGTGATTTATTATTGAATTTATTATGAATTTAATAAATTTTGATCGTACCATGCTTCTGAAAATAAGTGAATTCGCCCGCACTTTTTTTTGTTGTCACGTACGTTAAACTATATTTTTAGCTGAAGCTTTCAGTTTAAGCATTTAAATCTTTTGATATTCCAATGATAAATATCTAAAATTGTTTCACATTATATTGTTTAAAAATAATGGATTTGATGCATCGAAAATATGTTAGATTAGAGCAGTCATGACGACAATCAAAAATAAAATACAAAATAAATCAATTTAAACGTTCTTCGAAGCAGTGTTAGATTGTGTCTGGAGAAGTAAATTATTTTTATTGAAACTTACTATATCGATATAGATAGTAAAACATTTAAAATTATATGGCTTTGCGTATGAAATTTATTTTTAGAAA